CCGGCAAATCTACATATGTTATGAAATGTTCCAACCTCTTTCTAAAATATGTGTTCAGTAAACAAAACCCGTGACTTTCAGCAAACTCAAGGATGCGGTTGCCATCTTCATTCCGTTTTCCATAGCCAAAACCGCCATGTACGTTGTCAAAACCATCTGTTTTCTCTCCAACGTGGCCATTGAGATCGCCTCCAATCAGGATTGTTTCAGATTTTGGTATTGTTGAGATGGTGTCAGAGAATGCAGTCCAGAAGTCATTTTTCATCTCTTCTGATTCGCCTGTCTGTGGTGCGTATGCAGAAAAAATAATCATTGTTTGCTTTTCTATGCGAAGCTTGATCCACATGAGACGTGAATTAATCCTTTTAATATCCAGTACTTCTTGGGCTAGCGGTTCTCTGACAAAACTTCCAACACCATTTTTGGCCGTCTTTTGACCATTCCAGAATAGTTTCTATTTTTCTTTGTCTGAGTTGACATGACAGACACCATTCGATTTCCATCGGGTTTCCTGAAGGCAGCAGATGTCAATCCTTCTACGCTCCAGCATTTCTGCGATTTCCATGCTGCGGCCAGTATTTAAAATTTAGTATTTAAATAGTATTTAAATACCAAATACTGCTGTAAGTATTTAATTACTGGCTACAAGTATTTAAAAATTATTTTAAATACCATGCAGTTTTCATTTGATACTAAAATTTGCGTGTTAATAAAAAAGAATCACGAATTAACAATTTTTTTATTTTTATTATTTTATATACACCCACATCACAATTTGGAAATCTCATAAATGTTTCCATTAGAAATGAAAAAAGACATTAATACATAAAATTCACCAATAATGTTGGTTAACTTTAAGGAGCAGTAATGTTTCAAACAGATCATCAGATAAACGATTACGCTGTTTAGTTAGAATAAGAGCACCTGAACTAAATAAACGTTCAACTGGAGCACTTGAAGGCAATGCTGTTTTATATCTAATGAAAAGTTGTTTAATTTTTAAATGTTTGTCTAAGACTGAAATTTTAACTAAGAACAACTATTCAGTTAAGTTACCAACTCATTTATTAAAGATAATAAAGGAAAAAAATTTGATATGGAAAAGATATATGAAAAATAGAAATAGTACGCTGTATGAAGACTTCAAAAGGATTAGAAACATAGTCAAACGAGGAATCATGTTAATTAAACAGAATTACTTAGACAGCTTAGCTAAAATTGTGAAGATTAATCAGAAGGTATTTTGGAAACACATAGGCAGTAATAGAAAAGACAGTTTTTATTTGGATGGTTTTTATCGGGTGGATAAAGATGGTAAGAAGAAAGGAATTGTGACTGATCAACAGGAAATGGCAGATATGTTTGCTGACTTTTTTTCATCAGTTTATGCGACAGTGGATGATCTGCGTGATGAACCATATCAGGCTGTTTCGAAATCTAAGCTCATTGGATTAAAAATGAACGAAATAACTTTTGAACCTACAGTTGTCTATGACAAATTAAAAAATTTGAATGTTAACAAATCGTCAGATCCAGATAATCTACATGGAAAGATTTTATTCGAATGTAAAGAGTCTGTTTGTAATTATTTGTCTGCTTTATATGGTATATCATATCAATGGGGAGTCATACCTAGTATATGGAAGGAAAGTGTTGTAACAGTTATCTATAAAAAGGGTGATAAAAAAGATGCAAGAAATTATAGACCAGTGGCATTGACCAGTGTTATTTGTAAACTATGGAATCGGTTATTAAAGATGATTTGATGTTGTATTTAACTGATAATGATTTGATTGACCCTAGACAATATGGTTTTGTAAAAGGTAAATCAACGGTAATGCAACTCTTGAAACTTCTGGATGATTGGACTAAGGCACTAGATGATGGCTACAGGATTGATGTTGTGTACACGGATTTTGAGAAGGCTTTTGATAGAGTGTCACATGGTATTTTAGTTGAAAAAATGAAAGAATACAGATTGAATGATAGATTGATTACTTGGGTAAACAGTTATTTAAGCGGAAGAACATTCAGAGTGAGATTGAATGATAAAATGTCTAGATATTGTACAGTGTTAAGTGGGGTTCCTCAAGGGAGTGTGCTGGGTCCTATATTATTTCTTTTACATGTTAATGATGTGTTTAATTTGTATAAAGATACAAAAAGTCCAGCAATGTATATGTATGCAGATGATGCAAAATTGTACAGAATTGTTAGCTCAGATGATGATTTTGATAGAATGGTATTACAAAATGGGTTAAATGACTTGACTAGTTGGTGTGCAAAGAGTAATGTAAAATTGGTAACCAGAAAAAAAGCATTCAGGAAAAAATGTCTTCAGAAAAAATATCTTCAGTAAAAATATCTTCATTCAAAATGATCTTCCAGAAAAATGCCTTCAAGAAAAAAAGTCTTCAAGAAAAAAAGTTTTCCAGAAAAAACGTCTTCAGGAAAAAAAGTCTTCCAGAAAAAAATCCAACGATACTATTTTATTTTAAAAATATTCATACATACACAAATGAAATTACATTTTTACATAAAAAATTTGTTACAATAAAAATTAATAAAAATCATAATAACTTTATTATGTTCTTTGTGTATTAATATTATCTGAGAGGTTTATTGGAATGGATTATAGGGTTGTTAAAGTGTTACAGCATGTGCCTAAAACGGTTCTAGGGTTAGGGTTAGGGTTACACCTAGTGACCTCTAAACATAATTTTTAAAATGTTTTTGAAGGTAATTTCGTTGAACAAATTTTTTTTTTAAGACTTTTTTCTTGAAGACTTTTTTCTTGAAAACTTTTTTTCTTGAAGACATTTTTTCTTGAAGACGTTTTTTCTTGAAGACATTTTTTCTTGAAGACATTTTTTCTTGAAGACTTTTTCTGAAGATATTTTTTCTGAAGACTTTTTTTCAGGGATTCTGTAAAATTAAATGAAAAAAATTGTGTGGTAATGAAATATGGGTATAACATACATGAAAATAATTTTCAATATAAAATTGGTCATCATTGGATAATGTCGATAGTATTAAGGACTTAGGTGTAATATTTGATAATTCTTTAAAATTTGTTGATCATATTCATAACAATGTTAAAAAAGCTAATTCTTTGTTAGGTTTAATAATTAGAAATTTTAAAGGTGTTAGTGATCATATTTTTATAATGCTTTATAAATCATTAGTCAGATCTCAACTAAAGTATGCAGTTTGTGTTTGGTCTCCGTGGACAGTACGGGAAACAGAGGTGATAGAAAGGTTCCAGAAAAGAGCAACAAAGTCGATCAAGGCCTGCAAACATATGAAATACGAAGATCGTCTAAAATTTTTGAGCTTGCCAACACTGAAATACAGACGCATTAGAGGGGATCTCATCAAGATGCATAACTTGTTTAGAGCTACAGATCAACGTGACCTCCCAGTAATGATGAAAGCTGGGAGACGAACAAGAGGACACAAAATGAAATTGACTGCTCTTCCATTCTATAAGAACTTGAGGAAACAATACTTTATCAATAGATCAATTTGTATCTGGAACAATCTGGGTGTCGATGTTGTGAATGCTGATAATGTGAATGATTTTAAAAAAAGTTGGATACTTATCTTATGAATGCCAGATTTATGTATGATTGGAGGGCAAATGATACTTGATGTGACATTGGCTATTTCGCTCTCTATCTGATTCTATTGATTTTCACCCCATCTCAACTTCTGAATTGATAACTTTAACTGCCAAGATGAAAAATAATAAATCGGTTGCTGCTGACGGATTAAATATGTTTTTAATAAAAAATACAATTCACAATTTAACAATTCCCCTAGTCCATATTTTCAATTTATCTTTGTCCACCGGTGTATTCCCTGATACTTTTAAAACCTCTAAAGTTATTCCTATTTTTAAAAACGGTAAACCAGATGACATCATTAACTATAGACCCATTTCTCTTTTTTCTCTACTATCCAAACTTCTTGAAAAATTAGTTTATACCAGGTTGTTCTCTTTTTTTGATGCCAACAAAATTTTTTGCAAAAATTAATACGGTTTCAGGCCAAACCACTCCACAGAGCTTGCTACTCTTGATTTCATACATCACATTTTATCCAGGTTGAATGACAGAAAGCTTTCAGTTGGATTATTTTTAGACCTTTCCAAAGCATTTGATGTAACCAATCATAACATCTTTCTAAACAAACTTTATGGTGTCAGAAACGTAGCCAACGATTGGATTAAGAGTTATCTCTCTTCACGTAAACAAAACGTCTCCGTTGAAAATCACCAATTTACTACGGCCTTCATCCTAAACAGCGTACCTCAAGGCTCAATCTTAGGCCCTCTACTTTTTCTAATCTATATTAACGATATCCAAAATGTATCTACCGATATAAAATGTTTGCTTTATGCTGATGATACCAACCTCCTATTTACTTCTGATAACATCTCAAACTGTTCTGATTCAATTAACCAAGTGCTCTCTAAATATGCTGATTGGTTCTCTGCTAATAAACTCATAATAAACTACTCTAAGTGTTCTTATATCATCTTTGGCCCAAAAATCTTAACAAATTTGTCTCCAAACCTAAACCTTAATATCAACAATATCTCAATAAATCGTGCATCTTCTTCTAAATTTTTAGGTATAACCATTTCTGAAAATCTTTCTCGGGAATCTCATCTACAATCTATCTCCTCTAAAATTAACAAACTCATAGGTCTTTTCTACAAAATCAAGCACAAATTAACCAAATCCGCCTTAAAAAAAACTCTACTATGCTTTTATTTATCCTCATCTCACTTACTGCATAACCATTTGGGGTAACTCACCAAAAACCCATCTTTATTGTATGATATTGTCACAAAAAAGAGCTATACGCTTAATCTTCAACTTGAACCCTTTCTCTCCCACTAGCTCTTTTTTTAGTAAACTTAATATTTTGTCGATTAATTGTTTATACATTTATTTTACAGCTATTTTTGTTTTCAAATTCTTAAATAATTTACATCCCTCATTTTTTTCTAACATTTTTACACTCAGTGAATCTGTTCAAACTCTCAAAACTAGACACACTACTATCTTTTACTCAGTAAAAACTCGCCTTAAACTCATCTCTACAAGTTTAAAAACAACTGGCTCTAAAATTTGGAAATTATTTGTGCCTCATGCCATTCATAACATAACAAACAAGCAACTCTTCAAAAAAAGGTTGCGATCTCAGCTTTACTTACTTCACCCCGACACCACCATCTAACGATTTATATACATTAATATATAGCTGTTGTTTAAATATGAATGGATGTGTGGGTGTGTGTTGTTCGTGCGTATGTGTGGTGCGTGTGTGTTTTTGTTTGTCCGTTATTATTATGATTATTTGACTAAGAAGTATTATCTGAATGTATTTCATTCGAGTTAACATTTTTATAAAATTTCGATATAGTATTTGAATGCATTTGAACGCTGAAATTGAGTTTCTTAATTTTCTAACCTTTGAACCTTTATGTTTATTAATGACTTAGTTAAGGGTGGCCTCTCCACAAGTTTATTTTAAACTTATTTGGTCCTCTATAAT